TCTTTTCTACCTACCAAACCTTTCTTTCGTCACGAAACCACTGTTTACCTACAAGAAAAAGCAATAACTTTTGGTTTAAAGCACGGTGCCCCCCAGCAGTTGTTTTTTTTCCCCCGCAAGGGGGAAGAGGTTTGAAGTAAACTTAAATTCATCACCCTACACCAAGAAGAATCCGTCCCCTCAAAAAGTTTTTCCTGTTGTCGTGTTTTGCACTTTGAGCCCCAACACAGGTAAAAAGCGGGCCCAGGCCAAAATTTTTGGGCCAAAATTTCTTCGAGAATTGGAACGTGGCGCCCCCCCAGTGATTTCCACGCTACATTTGTCTCCCCCTGGGGTCTAAAACCCCACGTGTCAGCGTCACTTGTATTTTTGCTGTTGTTGTTGTTCACTCAACACATCGTTTCAGCAAGCCAGGGGTGAGTTTTGGGGTTGTTTTCTGCGTCCAGTGTGAGCCTACGTATTTTGTGGGGGGGGGAGAGGGGAAGGAAGTGGCTTTTCCTCCCCTTTGCCCATGCTCGCCCTACTCGCCTCACCACATTTCCCATAAAACCACTCACCACTGCTCACCCCCCTCTGTGTTCCTGCTTTTTTCGTGTGAATTCATTGCCATGCTGTGTATCCAGTCCCCAAAGGGCCCTCGAACACGGGGATCACGACGTCACGTGGGTGGGCGATGTCACGTAAACCTAAAAAGCCACTTTATTAACCAAAATGTCCCGGGCCCCTCATCCCTGGGGGGTCTCGCCCGCATCACATCGACCACCCACGATGCTGCCCAATTTCCCAAGATGTCACGATGTTTTTGCTGACGGGCACCTCCCCGATGTCTGCCTGACGTCACCTTGAATTTTTCAGCTGACTCACCTAAACGATGCCCCTGCCTGACGTCACCTCTAATGTCGCAAACGTCACAGCCCCGGGCTGACGTCACCTCGCGACATCACCCCCCTGACATCACATGAGTCCCCCATCAAAGGTTTCGGGAAATTATTTCAGTTTTGCCCGAGAAGATTGAGAGAAAAAAAATATGTCGTTTTGTTAATTCCTCTCAGTCATGTTCTCCCCTTTTAGTATTTTCTTAGTCGTTTTATGCGAAGAAAAGATCTTTTCTTTTTAAAAAGGGGCATGTTTGTACCAAAAAGTACGGGCCGTTTTTGTTTTTGTAATTTTTTTCCGTGGGGCCCCATTTGAGGTCTGTGGTCAAAACCCCTTGAGTTGCACCACTGTAAAAGTCACCCCCCCCCAGAGTGTTTTGACAGCTGATTACTCAGCCCGGGGCGTACGAAACCCCCTTTTTACAGAAAGCTTTTTTTCCGCGCTCGTGATGTTCTTTTCAGAATCGACCTGCTACGATTCCCATAAAATTTGTTTTTACCCTTTACCTCCCGAAAACCCTTTAGAAATTTCAGTTTTTAAAGTAGAGAAACAAGTCTGGGGACGCTTTGGGGCCCAACCTCTTTTCTATAACTCCAAAATGTCAGAGATGATTTCTCTTTAAACCCAGCCAGCCCCCCAGTGGGGCGCTGTGTCAGCCTCGTGTCCCAAGCTTAGGAGCAACCGCACAAAGGGGGGGCCCCTTTTTACTTTCTACTTTCTCACGCAGTCTGGTGAAAGATTTTTACACTCCCAATGTTTTTGCCCCGGTTTTCCCCTGCCCCGACTCCTTTCCCCAACTCACCCAAAGCCGCCCGGGGTGACAAACCCCCGACAGTACCAGTCGAGAAGTGTCCTCCGAGTCGCTTGCCAGAATCCTCCAGTTTTCCGAGTTTTTTTCGGGCGCCTCACTCGAGGGGACCAGCAGTCGTTTTCCCCAGGTTTTAGTGAAAACCCCGCAGTGACTCCTTTCGATGTCTGCTTTCACCGTTTCCCGAGGGGGACCATACCCCCGTTTTCGTTTACACTCAAACCGCAGGATTTTCTCCCTGTTGCAGTATCGTCCATTCAGGAGGGGTTTCAGTGATCCCATCGACCCTCACTGCCTAAGAAACCCCCGGGTGTTTTTTGGCACACCCCACATGTTTTTTTTTTTTCCCTCCCTGTAGGAAAATTTTTTTTTTCCCCCTTCCCCTAAATTTTAAAAATGTTTTTTTTTTTTTGGGGTTCCCCGTCCCTGTTTTCCCACGAGAGAGAGACCGAAATTTTTTTTAAATACCCCGTATTTTTCGCGTCGGGACGACGCGCGGTAAAGGGGGCCAAACGAAATTTAAAAAGCCGTACTGTTTTTTCACAGACCGCCCATGGGGTGTCTGCCAGCTTTTGTTTATATTTTTGCGCTTTCTGGTTCTGCCCCCCAGGGCCCTTCCCCTTCAGTTTTGCCCAGACCTTTCCTTTGCTCTCACTCCCCAAAAGCGGCTGGCATCAAGAAAAACAAGGCCACCCAGCTCTCTCTCGTGGGCTGGGCCCCTCGGGCCATTGGGGACACACACACAAGCCGTGAAAACCCCCCACTACCTTTAAAAATAAAGTAAGAAGCCTCCAAGAAGTTTTATCATTTAACCCCCCCGCACCAGAAACCAAACAAGCTCGTTATACATCAGTTTTAAAATTCCTAGACGATTCCCTAAAAAACCCCCCCTCAAACGAAATTTGCAAAAACAAAAACCCCCCAACCCCAGAGAGATGAAACCCCACCCTTGCATATATTCATGTTTTTCCAAAGAAAATGTCCCAATTATCAATGAATGGGAAATTTTTCAAAATTCCTTGCAAAAAACCTGTCTAACCAAAATTTGTACCAAATTTCCCAAATATCCATTCATTTTCCCACTCCCATTTTAAAGGGAAGGGTGCTACATAAAGATTGGGATCCCCCTTAAAACCTTTCTAGCTGAAAGACTGGGCCTGGACCTCTCCAGCAGCTTTTGCTCCTTCCCTTCCCCAAAGTCAAAAGGCTTTCCCAAAATCATTCCCTGGGACTCCCAAAGGGGAAAATCCCTTTAAAATTTCGAGTCCCCCGACCAAAAAACTCCACAAAAAGATAGTATCTGGGGTTTTCAGTCGAGGTGGGAGTCTATTTAGATTATCGTTGTCTTCTGATAACGGTTTCTTTTCAATAATTCTAGTTTTGACGCTGAAACAAACCCCCAATACCCGTTTTTTTATACTTTTCCCCCTTTGTATAGATCTTTATGATACTAACCGTATTCTAGCTCACCCTTTTGGCAACATTAACGCCGGAGACTTTTTCTCCAAAAACTTTTCCCTTTTTCCCTTTCTTTTCCTTTTTCCCAAATCACTTTATTAACACTTTAACAAATGCCCCTACGGGGCATCACTGACCAATATTTGCACTTTTGGGCCTGTTTTTTAAAAGTTTTTTTTTTTTGTAATCACCTTTTTGCCAAACCCGCGCCAGCATACAGACTCACACCTCGCACTTAGGAATTTCCCAAAAAAAACTCCCAAATCCCAAAATTTAAAAATTTTTTCCAACTTTTCAGACTCCCGGAAACCTTGTTATGCCCTTTTATTTTTAAAAATTCACTGACTCAAAAAATAGGGGACTTTCTGACAAAATCCTGGGGGCCCTAACTGGGAAAGTAAATGCCGGGGCCATTTTTAAGGAACTGCCTCACTGTGTGTCTGCCTATGTGTGTTGAAGAGTGGGGTACGAATTAAACCTTAAAATATCTTGCTAGGTTTCAAAAGGTTCCCAGGCTTTTTTTTTTAAAATCTTCTTAAAGCTGGGTTTTTAAACGTTCCCCCAACCACAAACCCCGTCCACATCGTTCTACTTTCTAAGACTAAAAAAATATTTTCTAACACCCGTGACTTATCTGTTTTGGCAACTTTCCCAAATATAACCCCGTGTTCCATTCCCATCTCCTGAACTATCTTTTCGATCCCTCCTACAGTATCTAAAAGTACTTTTTTAAACAAATCACTCCCAAGGGTTTTCTTTTTTTGTTTTCCCCCATTCACTCATCTGTATGTGGTTGGGGGGGCGAGTCACTAATCCTGCCTCACCTCTTCCCTGGTACTAAAGGGCCAATTTTCCCCCCGAAACCCCCCGAAGCATTGGGTACTTCTTCTTAAAGCTAAGTATGAAAACCTGTCCCTTTTTTACCTCTCACCAAATAATTTTACTTCCCCAAAAATCCCTTTAACCATCTGAGTTTTCAACTTCCACTTCCCATCCGGAAATAATTTTCTTCCATTTCCCCCTTTTTAAATCTATTCTTTCATAAAGAAAAGCTAACATGGTGGAAAATGAAACCCACACTTTTAAAAATTTCTATATCATAAAACCTGATTTTTATGCACAATACCGACAGTAAATGAACCACCAAAACCGACAGTATTTAACTACTCAATAAACCGGGCAGTATGAACAAAATCAATAAACCGGGCAGTAAAGAAACCCCTCAATAAACCCACAGTATGAACCCCTCAATACCGACAGTAGTTAAACCCCTCAAAATTTTCCGACAGTAGTGAACCACTCAATACCGACAGTAGTGAACTACTCAATACCGACAGTAGTGAACTACTCAATACCGACAGTAGTGAACTACTCAATACCGACAGTAGTGAACCACTCAATACCGACAGTAGTGAACCACTCAATACCGACAGTAGTGAACCACTCAATACCGACAGTAGTGAACCACTCAATACCGACAGTAGTGAACCACTCAATACCGACAGTAGTGAACCACTCAATACCGACAGTAGTGAACCACTCAATACATAGAATTCCATGAGAGGAAACTAAAGACACATGCTGGTGACTCGTCAGCAATAGAGTTCGTCTCATAATCGAAAATACTCGGCCTACATTCCTTCGCTAAACTAGAAGAATAAGCACGTCTCATTATTTCAGCAGGAGAGGTGTATCTAAAAGACAGTCGACTGTATTGACTCGTAGACTGAAAGAGTCAACTCTAATGTAAGTGAGCCACAAACTTTGGATACTGAGGTTCCATGGACAGTGAACCAAAGAGTTTTCTTTTCAAAGTTAGTATTAACATGAGCGCCTAGAATAACAAAATAAGACAAACCTGCTGAGCTGCTTCATAGACAGCTATGCCATCCGGAGTAACAGCTGGATCATCCAAGAGATGAATGATGGTGAGGACAGCTGAGCACAGGCACGAGGGGAACAGTTGTTGTGCCACAGCCACGTGGTGAGTGCCAACCCTCCCTACGTCTGCCTCCACCTCCTCACCACCAAACTCTGAAATTACAAAAAGAAAAAGAAAAAAATATGCTTTCCTAATACATATAACACACATAAGAAATAAATATTTAAAACAGTCTAATTCTTCTTAATCAAAGCTGAAAGTTTCCAGTGCACATCTTATTATCTCAAAGGAATCAATATTCTAAAATACACTAGTACAGAAAGCTTGAAGACAGTCGGACTTTGAATTTTGATGAAACACTCGCATATTATCGGACGAAAATTGTTAATTAATTTTTGCCAATTTCTTTCAATAAAAAATGCAAATGGGAACCAATATAGGGAAAATTATATTCAAAATATTCTCTAAGTAACACTTACCAGCTTTTAAGGTTATGTATGTGTGTAAGTAATTAAATAAATTATGTTAAACGAAGATCACAAGAAGCTTCAGTTATTGAACAAGGTCCATCACAGAGAGACTCTGGAATGTGATTTATTCACGTAGTGTCAAGCAAGGGAAGGAGGAAGGATAAGCCCAGTTCCTTGGCTTCAGAACCTCTTACCAACATTAAGGGAAAAATAATGCAATAATAGAAAATAATTCTATAGTATTTCGACATTTAAAAGTGACGAAATGGTGCCTACACACTCAATTAAGTAAATTATTTTTCTAAGAAGGTTAATTTGATCTCACTAAATGTTTATGTTATTGAAGTTGAATTTAGTGAAGGCTTCCTCGTAAATGATGTCATTTTGGTGGTCAGGAGACCTGTGCATATAGGTCTGAACTTTGATTAGGCTGTGATCCGAATTTATTGTCTTTGATACTGTTATATTTCATACCAGATCATCATTATAAGCAAAAAACAATTAAAGTGTATTTTCCAAATCGCAATCGTGTCATAACGATATCGTGAGTCATGATGGCTTCAAGGTGAATTTGTTTCAGAGTTTCAATAGCTCATATATGTGAGAACTTAGATCTAAGCTGCCTCCTGGGGTTATCATCGCTGTGAGAACTTTGATCTGAGCTGCCTCCTGGGGTTATCACCGCTGTGAGAACTTTGATCTGAGCTGCCTCCTGGGGTTATCACCGCTGTGAGAACTTGATCTGAGCTGCCTCCTGGGGTTATCACCGCTGTGAGAACTTTGATCTGAGCTGCCTCTTGGGGTTATCACCGCTGTGAGAACTTTGATCTGAGCTGCCTCCTGGGGTTATCACCGCTGTGAGAACTTTGATCTGAGCTGCCTCCTGGGGTTATCACCGCTGTGAGAACTTAGATCTAAGCTGCCTCCTGGGGTTATCACCGCTGTGAGAACTTTGATCTAAGCTGCCTCCTGGGGTTATCACCGCTGTGAGAACTTTGATCTAAGCTGCCTCCTGAGGTTATCACCGCTGTGAGAACTTTGATCTAAGCTGCCTCCTGAGGTTATCACCGCTGTGAGAACTTAGATCTAAGCTGCCTCCTGGGGTTATCATCGCTGTGAGAACTTTGATCTGAGCTGCCTCCTGGGGTTATCACCGCTGTGAGAACTTTGATCTGAGCTGCCTCCTGGGGTTATCATCGCTGTGAGAACTTTGATCTAAGCTGCCTCCTGGGGTTATCATCGCTGTGAGAACTTTGATCTGAGCTGCCTCCTGGGGTTATCATCGCTGTGAGAACTTTGATCTAAGCTGCCTCTTGGGGTTATCATCGCTGTGAGAACTTTGATCTGAGCTGCCTCCTGGGGTTATCATCGCTGTGAGAACTTTGATCTAAGCTGCCTCCTGGGGTTATCATCGCTGTGAGAACTTTGATCTGAGCTGCCTCCTGGGGTTATCATCGCTGTGAGAACTTTGATCTAAGCTGCCTCCTGGGGTTATCATCGCTGTGAGAACTTTGATCTAAGCTGCCTCCTGGGGTTATCACCGCTGTGAGAACTTTGATCTGAGCTGCCTCCTAGGGTTATCACCGCTGTGAGAACTTTGATCTGAGCTGCCTCCTGGGGTTATCACCGCTGTGAAAACCTTGATCTGAGCTGCCTCCTGGTGTTATCACCGCTGTGAGAACTTTGACCTGAGCTATCTCCTGGTGTTATCTCCGCTGTGAGTACTTTGATCTGCGCTGCCTCCTGGGGTTATTACCGCTGTGAGATCTTTGATCTGAGCTGCCTCCTGGGGTTATCACTGCTGTGAGAACCTTGATCTGAGCTGCCTCCTTGGGTTATCACAGCTGTGAGAACATTGATCTGAGCTGCCTCCTGGGGTTATCACTGCTGTGACAACTTTGATCTGAGCTGCCTCCTGGGGTTATCACCTCTGTGAGAACCTTGATCTGAGTTGCCTCCTGGGGTTATCACTGTTGTGGGAGCCTTGATCTGAGCTGCCTCCTGGGGCTATCACTGCTGTGAGAACCTTGATCTGAGCTGCCTCCTGGGGTTATTACCGCTGTCAGAACTTTGATCTGAGCTGCCTCCTAGGGTTATCATCGCTGTGAGAACTTTGATTTGAGCTGCCTCCTGGGGTTATCATTGCTGTGCGAACCTTGATATGAGCTGCCTCCTGGGGTTATCACATCTGTGAGAACTTTGATCTGAGCTGCCTCCTGGGGTTATCATTGCTGTGAGAACTTTGATCTGAGCTGCATCCTGGGGTTATCATTGCTGTGAGAACCTTGATCTGAGCTGCCTCCTTGGGTTATCACCGCTGTGAGAACTTTGACCAGAGCTGCCTCCTGGGGCTATCATTGCTGTGAGAACTTTGATCTGAGCTGCCTCCTGGGGTCATTACTGCTGTGAGAACTTTGACCTGAGCTGCCTCCTGGTGTTATCTCCGCTGTGAGTACTTTGATCTGAGCTACCTTCTGGGGTTATCATCGCTGTGAGAACTTTGATCTAAGCTGCCTCCTGGGGTTATCACCGCTGTGAGAACTTTGATCTGAGCTGCATTCTGGGGTTATCATCGCTGTGAGAACTTTGATCTAAGCTGCCTCCTGGGGTTATCACCGCTGTGAGAACTTTGATCTGAGCTGATTCCTGGTGTTATCACCGCTGTGAGAACTTTGACCTGAGCTATCTCCTGGTGTTATCACCGCTGTGAGAACTTTGATCTGAGCTGCCTCCTGGGGTTATCACTACTGTGAGAACCTTGATCTGAGCTGCCTCCTGGGGTTATCACCGCTGTGAGAACTTTGATATGAGCTGCCTCCTGGGGTTATCACTGCTGTGACAACCTTGATCTGAGCTGCCTCCAGGGGTTATCACTTCTGTGACAACCTTGATCTGAGCTGCCTCCTGGGGTTATCATCGCTGAGAGCTTTGATCTGAGCTGTTTCCGGGGGTTATCACCGCTGAGAGAACTTTGATCTGAGCTGCCTCCTGGTGTTATCACCGCTGTGAGAACTTTGACCTGAGCTATGTCCTGATGTTATCTCTGCTGTGAGTACTTTGATCTCAGCTGCCTCCTGGGGTTATTACCGCTGTGAGAACTTTGATCTGAGCTTCCTCCTGGGGTTATCACTGCTTTGAGAACCTTGATCTAAGCTGCCTACTGGGGTTATCTCAGCTGTGAGAACTTTGATCTTAACTGCCTCCTGGGGTTATCACTGCTGTGACAAATTTGATCTGAGCTGCCTACTGGGCTTATCACCGCTGTGAGAACCTTGATCTGAGCTGTCTCCTGGGGTTATCACTGCTGTGAGAACCTTGATCTGAGCTGACTCCTTGGCTTATTACCGCTGTGTACTTTGATCTGAGCTGCCTCCTGGGGTTATCACCACTGCAAAAACTTTGATCTTAGCTGCCTCCTGGGGTTATCGCCGTTGTGAGATCTTTGATCAAAGCTGCCTCCTGGGGTTATTACCGCTGTTAGAACTTTAATTTGAGCTGCCTCCTAGGGTTATCTCCACTGTGAGAACTTTGATCTGAGGTGCCTACTGGGGTTATCACCTTTGTAAAAACTTTGATCTGAGCTGTCTCCTGGGGTTATCGCCGTTGTGAGAACTTTGATCTAAGCTGCCTCCTAGGGTTATTAATTCTGTGAGAACTTCAATCTGAGCTGCCCCCTAAGGTTATCTCGTCAGTGACAACTTTGACCTGAGCTGCCTCCTGGGGTTATCTCCGCTGTGAGAACTTTGATCTGAGCTGCCTCCTGTGGTTATTACCAGAGTGAGAACTTTGATCTGAGCTGACTCCTGGGGTTATCACCGCTGTCAGAACTTTGATCTGAGCTGCCTCCTGGGGTTACCACAGCTGTGAGAACTTTGATCTGAGCTGCCTCCTAGGGTTATCACTGCTGTGAGAACCTTGATCTGAGCTGCCTCCTTGGCTTATCACCGCTGTGAGAACTTTGATCTGAGCTGCCTCCTGTGGTTATTACCAGAGTGAGAACTTTGATCTGAGCTGACTCCTGGGGTTACCACAGCTGTGAGAACTTTGATCTGAGCTGCCTCCTGGGGTTACCACAGCTGTGAGAACTTTGATCTGAGCTGCCTCCTGGGGTTAACACAGCTGTGAGAACTTTGTTCTGTGCTGCCTCCTGGAGTTATAACCACTGTGAGAACTTTGATCTGAGCTGCCTCCTGATGTTATTACCGCTGTGTACTTTGATCTGAGCTGCCTCCTGGGGTTATCACCACTGCAAAAACTTTGATCTGAGCTGCCTCCTGGGGTTATCACCACTGCAAAAACTTTGATCTGAGCTGCCTCCTGGGGTTATCGCCGTTGTGAGAACTTTGATCAAAGCTGCCTCCTGGGTTATTACCGCTGTTAGAACTTTGATCTGAGCTGCCTCCTAGGGTTACCTCCACTGTGAGAACTTTGATCTGAGGTTCCTACTGGGGTTATCACCTTTGTAAAAACTTTGATCTGAGCTGTCTCCTGGGGTTATCGCCGTTGTAAGAACTTTGATCTGAGGTGCCTATTGGAGTTATCGCCGTTGTGAGAACTTTGATCTAAGCTGCCTCCTAGGGTTATTAATTCTGTGAGAACTTCGATCTGAGCTGCCCCCTAGGGTTAACTCGTCAGTGAAAACTTTGACCTGAGCTGCCTCCTGGGGTTATCTCCGCTGTGAGAACTTTGATCTGAGCTGCCTCCTGTGGTTATTACCAGA